GCCCACAGCAACTTCAAACTCTTAGGCTTAAGCGATTCTCTTGCCTTAGCCTCCCAAGTAGCTGGGACTACAGGCACCCGCCACAACCCCCAACTGTTTTCTTGTTGCAGTTGTCATTATTGTTTAGCTGATTTGTGCCAGGCTCAAACCCACCAGCGTCAGTGCAGGTGGCTGGCACTGTAACCACTGTGCTATGGGTGCTGAGCCTATTTTCCACTCTTTTTTTTTTTATTTGAGACAGAGCCTCAAGCTGTCACCCTGGATAGAGTGCTGTGACAGCACAGCTCACAGCAATCTCCAAGCAAGTCTCTGCCTCCCAAGTAGCTGGGACTATCGGCTCCTGCCACAACGCCCGGCTATTTTTTGGTTGCAACTGTCATTGTTGTCTGGTGGGCCCAGGCTGGATTTGAACCTACCAGCTCAGGTGTATGTGGCTGGCACCTTAGCCACTTGAACCATAGGCACCAAGCCCTATTTTCCAGTCTTACCACCCCACCTTCTCCCATTGTATTCTCCCCACAGTAACTAAAATAATCTTTTAAAAACATAAATCAAGGCTTATCTTTCCCCTGCCTAAAATCATCCCAGGTTTCCTGTTCTGCACCACAGCCTGACCTAGCCTCTTGTTGACCCCGCCTTGCTGAGCTTATCTGCCCATACCCTGAGACCCACAATGCATTTTCTGTCCTCTGAGCACCTCCAACTCTTTTCACTGTGGTGCCTCTACCTGGAATACTCTTGGCTCTTGTCATCCCTCAAGCTGGTATGGTAAAACCTCTCTTCCTCAGAGAGGCCATCTATAACCGCATTTCATCCTTGCCCCTGTTTGTGTCTTCGATGGCCCTTACCAGTTTGTGCTTACATATGAATCACTCACTAGTGCAGGCCCAGTAAATAATAAGTTGAATCTGTATACATGTGTCCATTACCCATGCCTGCCTTTCGTAAGAAATACAGAATAATGCTTAGACTATGTATTTCTCCCTCAAGTAAAGGGAATCCAAAAGTGGGCAGTCTAGGGCTGTCATGGTGGCTCTCACAGCGTCTGGGTGCTTTTATCTAACTGCTTTACCATCTCAGAACATCATTTTCTTCAGTGTCGCTTCATAGCCTAATGACTGCTAGAGAATCAGCCATCTCGCCTATGTTCTAGAGAAGAGGAGGGAAAGGTCCTGAAGGGGTTCACCACCCACCTGTGTCAGCTTTGTTTAAAGATCCTTTTAGGAGTATCCACATCGCTTCTGCTCATGTCTCACTCCCTAGAACTCTATCACATGGTTGTATTTATTTAAGGGAGGTGCAGAAATATAGTTTTTATTACAAATTGGCTGTGTGCCCAACTAAATGCCATGCGTTCTTAGTGTTGAAGAAGAGGGGAATGGATATGGGGTGACAACCAGCAGACTCTGCTGGGTTAGAAGTTGAAGGTGGGATTTTTAAAAGCTACCAGAACACACGGGACCTTATCTGTGATTGCTTGTTAAATAGCAGCTTTTGCAGTCCTCCAGATTTTGAAATAAACAACCTGTGTCTCATCTCTTCTTGAAACAGGTTCAACAAAAAACCCAAGAGGGGGATCCAGTTTCTCCAGGAGCAGGGCATGCTGGGAACATCAGTTGAAGACATTGCCCAATTCCTGCACCAGGAGGAGCGCCTGGATTCTGTAAGACTTGGGGCTTAGCTCTTGCATGTGAGTTCTGTCAGGTGATTCTGAGCCCTTATCAGCTTTAGGCTTGGGACTGGCTGGCTCCAAGTACATTGTTTATTGTCAGCCTGCTGGCCGTAACAGTCCTGCTTCTCCCTTTGGCCAGTTGCAAAAGCTCTTTGATGGGAATAAACTAGCCTCCTGACAGGTGATTGCATATTTGATGGAACATGGTCAGAGTTCTACTTAACCTTGACTGTTAGAAGGGGTTATGGCTGTCCAACGGCAGCTAACCTCCCCATTATTCTCTCCATTTCTAAATCTCTCATGTGTCCTCATCTTCCTTTGTCCATAGCAGGATAGACTAAATCTGGAAATCTTGGGTGGGTGGGCAGCTCAGGGAATTCCCTAACTGTTTGAGTAGTCCAGCTTGTTCTGAGTATTTATGGCCAGAGTGTTTGGACTCCACTATTTGGCTAGTGGCTTTTGCTGTGGGTTCATACTTGCCTCTTTCTAGATGCGAGTAAATGTGTATGTTTCAGACCCAAGTAGGTGATTTTCTGGGAGACAGCACAAGGTTCAACAAGGAGGTGATGTATGCCTACGTGGACCAACTTGACTTCTGTGAAAAAGAATTTGTTTCAGCCCTGCGCACATTCCTAGAAGGTTTCCGCCTACCTGGGGAAGCCCAGAAGATTGACCGGTTAATGGAGAAATTCGCTGCAAGATACATAGAGTGCAACCAAGGGTGAGCGCCATATTTAAGTCCCTTCCACATCAGAAAGCTAAGCTTAATTTGGTTGACGTTTAATTTTTCTAAATCTGTGCCAAGCAACTAAAGTTTCTGTTCACTCTGTGCTAGTCATTATACTAAGGGATTATCTCATGTAAGACCTCACAGCAACCTGTTTGCGTCCCCACTCCCTAATTCTACAAATAAGGAGATCGAGGACGAGAGAGGTCAAGTACCTTGCCCAGGATCACATGGATAAAGCCTATGCTATTAACTACTATAAAAAGGTGACTTTGTGAGTTTAGAGAAGGAGATTGGGCACCTCTTCCCTAATCAAGAATGATTCTCTGATTTTAATATATGAGGTAGATCTCAAGGATTTTGGTTTTTCTTTGATTATATACTAATGAGCAGGTTGTAGACATGGCTACAAAACTAACAAAAAAGGATGTGATTTCATCTTGGGGCCTTTTTTGATGAATGGTTTGTGTTTTTGTATGAATTTGAAATGGAAAAGAGAAGAAACCTTTATCAGACACTGCTTGTGCATAGGTCAGACTTGGGTTTTACATGTATTTGACTTAATTAATGGTAAGCCTTGGGGGATTATCCCCATTTTATAGGTGAAGAAACTGAGATTCTGGAAGATTGAGTAACCTATCCAAAATTAATCAGCTAGTCAGTAGCAGAGCCAGGACTAAGTATGGATTCATCTAACTCGAAAGTTTATGCTTTTTGCGCTGAACATGAAATTAAGCATGTCTGAATATACATGATGTGGAAATTGTTCAGTGGAAACATTTTGATAATGGTTTGCCTCTCAAATCAACTTGGTTTTTATGTTAACTGGCCCCAGTCCTTTAAGTAAATGGCAGGCTATTCCTGGGAGGTGGCAGCATTGGCACAAGCAGTATGATCATTTTCATGTAACCAAGTAGACGTTAGAATTCTCCTTGAAGACATAATTAGGTGTTATTTACTTTAAACATGCTCCTGTATGGACCTGGAAACGTCATTCTGTTTTCCTTAGTCATCAAATATGTAACCAAATTAAATCTCATATTAAAATGTAGACCTTTCGTCGAGTTCTCATTTTTCCTTTCCTATTAGGCAGTTTGGGCAGACCAGGTTTTCTAGCTTTAGCTTTGCATATTATGTTGTACATCCCCATGTACACATCTTTGTCTCGTTCTTCTTGCCCAAAGCAAAGTAGTCAGACTTCACCAGCTTACTATTTAGAACAACATAAATGTTTTCCTTTGTATTTCCATTCGGTATTATAATGGAAATAACAACAGTTTTAGTCTTTCTGTCTGGTGCCTAGCAGGGTGCATGGCACAAAGAAGATGCTCTCAGGAGCAGGACAAGGTGAGGCAAGTGAGACACAGAGCTTGAGAGGCATCGCTCTTGATGTTGGGCAAGTGCAAGGTCAGCAACCGAGAGTAAGAGACGCATGACACCTTGTGCTCACTTGCCTTGCCCTAGCTGCTCCTCGAGGGTCTTTTAAATAATTGACTGAAGGGCCAGGAATGGATCCTAGCAGTCTGGGAGGCTGAGGCAGGAGGATTACTTGAGTTCAGTAGTTTGAGACCAGCCTGAGCAAGGGTTAGATCCCATCTCTTTTTAAAAGTAATAAATAAAATAAAACTCGACTTAAAACTACATTATTCAAAGAAGCCTAGACTCCAACATAACATTAGCAACTTCTGCACTCTTGGGTTGTTACTGTTCAGTGATGATGAGAGCATGAAAGCTCTTGAACTTCTTTGGAATCAGGCTGGAGTAGCCACCTGCTTTTAGTGAAGTATGTGCCCTATAGCACTGTACCTTCCAAACCTCGTTGACATGAATGTTCTTCATATCTGGAATCTTGTCTTCCAGGCAAACTCTGTTTGCTAGTGCTGACACCGCATATGTCCTAGCATATTCAATTATTATGCTAACTACAGACTTACACAGTCCTCAGGTAAAATATTTTAATGATTTATATTGTAGTAGTGAAATAAGTAGCTTATTTGGGCAATTGGATGTTTTTTAAATGGTTTTTAATTTTTTTCAATTTCAGGTAAAAAACAAGATGACTAAAGAGCAGTATATTAAAATGAATAGAGGTATCAATGATAGTAAAGACCTACCAGAAGAGTACCTCTCAAGCATCTATGAAGAGATAGAAGGCAAGAAGATTGCAATGAAAGAAACAAAAGAGCATACGATTGCAACCAAATCTACTAAGCAGAGTAAGGTCTAAAGGCACATTACTTTTATTCTAATTTTCAAGTGTATCAAAATACATGATTAAGTACTCTGGTGATAAATTTAATTTGTGTATCGACGTACCTTCAAAGAAGATGTGATATTAATTGTTGTGATTATATTGCTTCTTTCATATTATCTTGCTAGATTTATGATTAGCAGTAAATCGGAGTTTAAAATATGTAATGTGAGCACTAAATTACCCCCCAAAAGGGTGTTCTTCAAAAACTTTGCTTTAGGGTGGCACCTGTGGCTCAAGGAGTAGGGTGCACTGGCCCCATATACCTGGGGTATCAGGTTCAAGCCCGGCCCTGGCCAAAACTGCAAAAAATAATAGTAAAAACTTTGCTTTAATTCCAGTGGTGATTGTGCCAACTGTGATTAAAATTCTATTAGTTAAGGCCCCTGTGAAGTCATTTTCTCTGTTTAAGAGGCAGCAGCATGTAGTGGTTCAGTTCAGTCTCTAGAGCAGTTTCAACCTTTCTATTTCATGGCACACTTGAACATATAGTTAAAATTCCACAGCACACTTAAATTATGTTGATCAAAAAAAAGAACAAGGGAGAGGGGAAGGTTTGATGGAGGGAGGGTAAACAGAGGAAAGGGAGACCACACCTATGGAGCATATTGCAAGGGTACAAGTCAAATCTTTCACGTATAGAACATAAATAATTATTGTATTATTAATATGATAATTAAGCAAATGAGACGAAAGCTATATTAATTAGTTTGATATAAGCACTCCAAATTGTATAAAAAATAACGCATTGGGCTCAGCACCTATGGCTCAAGCTGCTAAGATGCCAGCCACATACATCTGAGCTGGCGGGTTCAAATCCAGCCTGGACCCGCCAAACAACAATGACAGCTGCCACCCAAAAAAAAAAAAAAAAAATAGCCAGACATTGTGGAGAGCGCCTGTAGTCCCAGCTACTTGGGAGTCTGAGGCAGGAGAATTACTTCAGCCCAGGAGTTGGAGGTTGCCACAGCACTCTATTCAGGGCGACAGCTTGAGGCTCTGTCTCAAAAAAAATATATAACACAAAAAACATACTGTACCCCACAAATGCATAAATGTATTCATGATCTGTGTGTATATGACTTAATAAAAGGGAGAAAACTGTGCTTTAAAATTCTTTTGAAAATAATTAATGATCTTTAAAAATTTTCATGGCACACGTAAGATCTTCTCATGACACACCAGTGTGCCATGATATACCAGTTGAAGATCATTGCTCTCAAGTCACTCTGCCTTGGATCAGATCCCAGTTCTACTGCTTATTAGCTATTATAACCGTGGGCAAGTTACTAAATCTCTGCCTCATTTTTCCCATCTGTAAAATGGTAATAATATTTGTAGCAGATTCATGGGATGGTTGGGAGGATTTGGGAGTTAATCATTATACATGTTTTGAAATGGTGCCCAACAAATAACAGATGCTCAGTGAGTAGTAGCTGCCCTTATCACACTCTTACTTCTTTATAGGTGTAGCTAGTGAAAAGCAGCGGCGGCTGCTGTACAATCTGGAGATGGAGCAAATGGCTAAAACAGCCAAAGCTCTCATGGAGGCCGTGAGTCATGCCAAAGCCCCGTTTACAAGTGCCACTCACTTGGACCATGTCCGGCCAATGTTCAAAGTGAGTATCCTGAGCGGTGAGAGAGCTTGTGGCTCGGCTGCATTCTGGAGTCAGCCAGCTGGAAGCTGACTGGTGGGATGAGATTGAGGGGAGGAAAGGCCAGGTCTGGGTGCTTGTGTGTGAACAGTAACTAAAGCAAGTCCTTCCCACACATCCTTTGATATGCTGGGGAAGCCGCAGCACCAAGTGTATGCTCCATGGCCACAATATCTACATTTGAATCCTGGCTTTGCTACCTTGTAACTGTGCAACCCTGGTCAGGTTACTTGACCTGTCCCTCTGTTGAGCTATAAAATGGGGCCACATACAGGGTTGTTGAAGGTATCAAATTAATTAATAATTATTCAAGCCAAAGATAAAGGGAGAATTTTATTGGGACATCTCACCTCAGTGGCTTCTGGGCAACTTTATTAGAGACCAGATGGCAGAAAAAAACAATAGCCTGAGATCTCTATTTTTCAAAGAGCTAGAAAAGATGTAATTCTGTATACATAGCATGGTATTTTTCCTATTCCTTTCCAATATTCTATTAGGTATTGATTCTAGATTTTTGTGACCTTTTAGTTCCAAAGAATTTATAGGAAAGTTAGGAGAAAAGTAAAGCGCTATAGAACATAAGTCACTTGTAGGTTTTATTCTGCATGCCAACCTCTGATTGATAATGGCTGCCTTGTACACCATGTAAAGAAGCATTCTCAAGCCTGATACAGACTCGGTAGGGAACAGGATATTCTGGGATTTACTAGTGATGTGTGCCACAGGCACAGATAGATACAGTTGTGCCACTCTAGCCAGTTGTTAACAATCCTTCCTTTAGAACTGTATATTTAGTAAACAGTACATACATAGAGGTAACTGTGACCGTAGGTTAGGAGGAACTGTTTTATATTGTGAATGGAATAGATTGAAGTCAAAATAGCAGTGAACTTGGCATTCTGGCTGTTCTGTGACTAACAGTATAGCCTATAAACGCTCTTTCTATCCTAAAACTCTGGATGTTATTGAAACTTTGTTTCTGTGATAGCTGGTGTGGACACCACTGTTGGCAGCCTATAGCATTGGACTACAGAACTGTGACGACACTGAAGTGGCCTCACTGTGTTTGGAAGGCATCCGATGTGCAATCCGAATTGCCTGCATCTTTGGAATGCAAGTGGGTATCTGTCAACAATTTCCCAGAGATCCTAGTGGGTTGTTTTCTTTTAGATTTGGTAAAACTTAGAAATATCCAGTGAGTCAAGAGTCTCAGCAAACGACTTACTCATGCCTACTGAGAAGAAACCCATACCTTTCTACTAGCAGCTCGTTAGGGGACAAAATTAGAGATTTGAATTAAAACCTTCTGTAAGTGTAGGCGAGATTCCCGCTACAAAACAGCCTTCCCAGCCATCTGCCTAATTTTTTGGCTTTAAATGTGTGCTTAAAAATATCATTTACCTTTTAAGATTAGATTTTATTATTTCCTATCTTTGCATTTCTTCTCTGGGAAAACAGATATAGTTCAGTAGCTATAAAACTTTAGAATCATGAAAAATTCAACCAAATAAATGGAATATAATTGTTAAACTGCTATGAAACCAGGTTGTCGATTCCCCACACATCACTTTTTTTTTTTTTTTGCGAAAGAGTCTTATTGTGTCGCCCTTTGTAGAGTGCCTTGTCATCATAGCTCACAGCAACATCAAACTCCAGGGCCCAAGCGATTCTCTTGCTTCAGCCTCCTAAGTAACTAAGACTATTTTTTTGTTATAGTTGTCATTGTTTAGCAGGCCCGGGCTGGGTTCAAACCCACCAACCCCGGTGTATGTGGCTGGCGCCCTAACCACTGAGCTACAGGTGCTGAGCCCACGCATCCCTTTCTAAATCAGTGAGAAGTTGTACCCATTTATTTTTTAAAAACTCAGCCTTGGCTCAGCTCCTGTAGCACAGTGGTTACGGCGCCAACCACATACACCAAAGTTGTCAGGTTCAAACCCAGCCCATGCCAGCTAACCAACAATGACAACTGCAACAAAAAAATAACTGGGTGTTGTGGTGGGCACTGTAGTCCCAGCTACTTGGGAGGCTGAGGCAAAAGAATTGCTTGAACCCAAGAGTTGAGATTGCTGTGAGCTGTGATGCCATAGCACTCTACTGAGGGTGACAGTGAAACTGTGTCTCAAAAATAAATAAATACTCAGCCTTATGTTCCCATTCATTTTATAGTTAGCTGTTTTCTTTTGCAGCAAGGCCACAGAGGCTTTGAAGTCAGGCAGTCTGGGTTTCAAAGCCCAGCGCTGCAACTTCTCCAGCCATATAGCACTGACCCGGCTTATTTCTAAGAAGTCTCTTATTTCCTCATTTGTAAACTTGAGAAAATACACCTACTTTGCAGGATTGTTGCAGATAATAGAATTTATTTGGCAATCTTAGAATTCAAGAGAGAATGGAACATGGGATAGAGAGGTTTGATTGAAGTCAGTGGGAAAGGAGAGAGCTGCTTCTTGAACATGCAGTATGCAGGGAGCCCCAGTGGGATGTTCTGATCGCAGGAGGATAACAGCATGGAACACCTGGCATGTTCACGTTCTAAAAGCCTGTTGGTGTGCATAACAAAGGTATCAGACAAGATTTAAAAGACATGATTTTTAAAAAAGGTTTCAGAGGAGTGGCGCCTGTGGCTCAAAGGAGTAGGCGCTGGCCCCATATGCTGGAGGTGGCAGGTTCAAACCCGGCCCCGGCCAAAAGAGAAAAAAAGGTTTCAGAGAAGCCCAGTGTCCCCAGCCCTATAGATGTGAAAATGGCCGCACTAAGATGTCCTCTCTCTTGCTTCCATTACAGCTGGAACGAGATGCCTATGTTCAGGCTCTTGCTCGCTTCTCCCTGCTCACAGCCAGCTCCAGCATCACTGAAATGAAGCAGAAAAACATTGACACCATAAAGACGCTTATTACAGTGGCTCACACCGACGGCAACTATCTTGGGAATTCCTGGCATGAGGTGTGTGTCTCCTTGATTTGTCTTTTCTCAGTTAAAATGATGGCTCCTGGCATCTCTTTTATTCATTGTTGATGTCTTGGTCAGTTCCATTTTTCTTGAAGTCAGACCTCCCTTTTTACCTCATGTATCTGAAAGTCAGCATATCTGGAGACTGTAAAAGACGAGGTGAGTCCAGATGTACCACCCCACAGGGCGCACGCCCACGAAGTGCAGTTCTAGTAAGGCGACTTTATTCCTGTCCGTAGTGTTACGTTCCTTAAATTCTAATGCACCTCTTGGGACTTCCTACAGTCACTGTGTAGATTTAAAAAAACACTTGTCCTGTTGTCCTGAGTAGAGTGCAGTGGCATCATTAGAGCTTACTGCAATCCTAAACTCCTGGGTTCAAGTGGTCCTCTTAGCTCAGCCTCCTGAGCTAAGCCTTCTATTTTGCTCAGGCTGGTCTTGACCTCCTGAGCCTTCTATTTTGCTTAGGCTAGTCTTGAACTCCTGAGTTGGTTTTTTTGGTGGTTTGTTTGCTTGTTTGTTTTTTTGTGGCAGAGTCTTGCTCTGTCACCCTGGGTAATGTCCAGTGGTGTCATCGTAGCTCACTGCAACATCAGACTCCTGAGCTCAAGCGATCCTCTTGCCTTGACCTTCCAGAGTGCTAGGATTACACACAGGGATGAGCCACCACTCCTGACCCAGTATATAGATTTAAACCAAAGCCAGGAGCCTGATCTCTCTCCTAATTGTTATCTTAAATAATTAGTATTCCCAATGAGCTGTTTTAGAAGGTTCCAGTGAGCTCACATTTTGATTTAACTAAACAATGTTATAATATTCTCACCTAAGGACATAGTTATGCATATGTGTACAAAGATATGCTTAAAAGGATGGTCATCACAGTTTAATTGTTCTAGGTTAAAGACTGAATTAGAAACAGCTAGATATTCAATATCCCAACAATGAGAGATGGTTCTTTTTTTAAAAAGTATAGTATAGCTAGCATTCCTAGAGGTGTGTTTAACCTGTAGCCTACAGACCTCATGCACATTACATGAGAACTATTTTGCTTAATCTGTGGTGTTTGATACTGCAAAAAATATGCATGGACCTTCTCTTCTCATCAGCTTTCATTAGTGTTTATATTTAATGCATGGCCAAGACAACTTTTATTCTTATAGTGTGCAGCAGTACAGAAAAAAGATTTGGACACCCATTGTGTTATATGGCCATTTAAAGTGATGATGTTGAAGGCCACGTGGCAGCTCATGCCTGTAATCCTAGCACTCTGGAATGCTGAGGCATGTGGATCGCTTGAGCTCAGGAGTTGGATAGCAGCCAGAGCAAGAGTGAAACACCGTCTCTTAACAATAGCCAGGCGTGATGGTGGGCACCTGTGGTCTCAGCTACTTGGGAGGCTGAGGCAAGGGGATTGCTTGAACCCAACAGTTTGAGGTTGTTAGGAGCTATGACACCATGGCACTCTACTGAGGGCAACAAAGTCAACTTTGCCTATAAATAAATAAATAAATGATGTCGTTGAAAAGAGACAAGAGACATAACTCACTTCTTGCTAGAAATGCACATAACTACCTAAGAAATGTTCATTCCCCAGACTTAAACCTAAATACCAGTTTATAGGAAATAAAAGGGACAGAAGCTGTGATAGATAAACGACAGCTTGCAGATTCTAGATGTGACAGACCCACAGAGCAGGTGACCAAGTTTTTCATGAAATACATTGCGAGAAAAATATTAATAATAAATGAAAAGGAGACTTGTGGGTTAAAAGAGTCCTCAGAGAAAAAAAGAGATGATATTACAGGCTATGTTGTAGGAAGATGGTCATAGTACAGTAAATAAAAAGTTGTTAGAACACTGTGAGGCATCATCCCTTGTGCCAAACACAAAGAGAATGGAGTTTGAAAGGACCCTGAGTGATAGGATTATAGAGGCTATTTGTTTTTCATCTTTTTCCTTAATTTCTAATTTTACTACTATCTATGTGTCTTACCTTTTGTTTAGAGAGAAAACTGTGAAAGCAAAGATGAGGCCATGGAGAGGGGACTGTTTAACCTAGAAAGAAAATTGCTATCAGCTCCCCATATATGGATGAATGGTTCGGGGTAAAGGCTATAGAGCCAGGCTTCTGTGGCCTGATCTGGGGCTCCACCCGTTCTGCCTTTCTTGACTCTATAGCCTTTATGGGATGATTGTGAGAAGGAGAAGGGCTTGTGGCTGCATTTGGCCTGTGGGAAGAACTCAGCAATGTTAGCTGCTGCATCATTGCCGTCTTGGCATATAGCTTTGTCCCTCTTTACCAGCCTTTCCTTTCTTTGTCACAACTCTGAGTAGTCCATGTTAGAAACTGTGCTTTTTAAAAAGAAATAATTTTCCATCATCTGAGGAATCATAATACATGGAGAATTGATGAATTTTGCTTTTTATTCTAGAAAAAAAAATTTTTTTTTAACCTAAGAGGTACGATCCATGTGGGGTTCCTTCTTGTTGCCAAGTATGTGGTAGCATCTGGAAATGTTAAAATGAATTAGCAACCAGTGTGGTGGTCAGAAACTTTGAGAAATCAACTTAGTACCTGTAAGGCCTTGGCTTGAAATTCCAGCTATCCCAAGCTTCTTTCTTTCCCAAGGAAAAAGAGCATTAACAGTTTACTAGTGATAATTTAATAGTATTGTGCTATGTGGAAAAATCAAAGGATGATTCTCTTCAGATGAATTAAATCCATTTCTCAGTAAAGAAGAAGGCAAGTTATAAGCAGAAACACTCAGCAGTGCTCAGTAGTGTGGTGGAGTCCTATACTCTGGGACTGGATTGTAATGCAGTGTGAGAGGCAGCATTCAGCTTTATTTAGTCAGAAGTTCCCATGAATCATTCCAAAACCATCCCTCCCCTTCCCCATCCCTCCATCTGTGAAAAAATTATCTTTATGAAATTCAGTTCCTGGTACCAAAAAGGTTAGAAACTGCCTATCCCACCGCATGCCAATTTAGGGTACCAGTCTGTTACCTGTTGGGAACTGGGCCACACAGCAGGAGTTGATTGGCAGGTGAGTAAGTGAAGCTTCATCTGCATTTACAGCCACTCCCCAGGGCTCACATCACTGCCTGAACTTCGCCTCCTTTCAGATCAATGGCAGCAGTAGATTCTCATAGGAGCATGAACCCTACTATAAACTGGATGCCAGGGATCTAGGTTGAATACTCTTCATGAGAATCTAATGCATGATGATCCAAGGAGATGTGATGTGCCTAAATCATCCCAAAGCCACCCTCCCCACCCCCACTCCGTCATGGAAAAGTTGTCTTCCATGAAACCTGTCCCTGGTGCCAAAAAGGTTGGGGACCATTGCCCTACCACATGCTCACTATAGGACACATTCTTGGTCCAGGACACATTCTTACTTGTTCAGTTAACCAAATAATAATCACTGCCCATTTTGAGTGCTGGGTATTCAATAATGATTAAGAGAGTTAATGCCTTCTAGGCACTTAAGGCAGAGAACAAACAAATACATAGTATAATGCAAAAAAATGATAAGCATGAAAGAGAAAGTGGGAGCAGGGGTGGTGCTGGGACATATGATCTTAGGATGATCAAGGAAGATCTCTCTGAGGGGGATGCTCATGGTGAGCTAGGAATTGAAGGGGTGAGCTGCAGGGAAGCAGTATCTTAGGCTAAGGAGCAGCTGGTGCAGAGGCCCTGGAATGGGACCAGAGAAGGCAAGGCAAAGGAACAACATCATTAAAGCCAGTGAGACGGGTGTGTCATGTCACGGAGAGTGGGAAAGGAAGTGGGGGTGCCCAGGTCACACTAAATGGTGCACTTAGTGTCGTGTGAGTGGAATCCTCTTGTTCCAGTCAAATACTTTTTTTCTCTTTATTGATTATTTAACTAAAATGAATGTTGTTATGGTATAACTCCATTATACCGACTTTCTTTTGCCCATTTGCTCCTTTTTAGTGGTTAGAAACTATGTGGTTGTCTTCAGAACCCACGCTTGAAGAAGGGCTGTGTACCTAGGACTCTTGATGCTCCTTGGCCAGTGGATATTCCTCTAAGAAAGCCATCCTAAGGTCTCCAGATTATATTCTCACCTTGAACAGCTGCCAATTTCAAAGGACACTTTAATGACTGTCTTAAGATTATAGTGTCTTTTTCTGAGGGCAGGCACGGTAGCTCACACCTGTAATTCTAGCACTCTGGGAGGCTGAGGCAGGAGGATTGATTGAGCTCAGGAGTTTGAGACCAGCTTGAGCGAGAGCAAGACCCTGTCTCTACTAAAAGATAGAAAAATTAGTTGGGTGCCTGTGATCCCAGCTACCTGGGAGTCTGAGGCAGGAGGATCACTTGAACCCAGGAGTTTGAGGTTGCTTTGAACTAGGCTGATGCCATAGTACTCCTGGGGGACAGAGTGAGACTGTCTCAAAGAATTGAAGAAAAAAAAAAGAGAGATTTTTTTCCTTCTTTTCACACCAGAAAATTACAGTGGGATTTTCCAAGCTGTGAAGCAGCAACTCATTTCTTCATAACTTCTTTCCATTAGATCTTGAAGTGCATCAGCCAGCTGGAGCTTGCTCAGCTGATAGGAACCGGTGTGAAGACCCGCTACCTGTCTGGGTCTGGACGTGAAAGAGAAGGGAGCCTGAAGGGCCACACGCTGGCAGGAGAAGAGTTCATGGGCCTTGGCCTTGGTAAGATACCAGGCCCCATGGCTAGCCATCATGGACTCACAAGTTAACCAGGATGAAACCCTTCTTGTCTCGTCAGGACTGTTTTGTAAACCGTCACTTCCCTATGTGCCAGCTGACAGTGTATTTATGAATGCAAGTAGACGTGCTGCTTCAGTTCTCTTAATTGTGATTTAAACTGTTGAGTAAAATGTTTATTTTTTCAAAATCAGCAGGGTGCATTACTTTTCTTTCTATACCTATAACTATTCTGGGGGAAGCCATTTGCTTTGAAAAGGCTACTGCTGTAGTGCCTGATATTAGAGGGGTACATATATGTGTCTGTAGATTTTAAAGGGTATATTCAACATTTCTTCCATGTTCATTTAGGGGCTTTTATTAAACAGTATTCTTATCATGCACAAAGAATTATTTCTAGCTATTCATTGGATTAAGAGACTTTTCTGTCAGATGTGTTGTAACATAATATAATAGTAACATAATACTATAACATAATCATAACAACATAGCATCATAATAATAGCAAATAGGGCAAACAAATGTGCCAGTCCACATTCTGAGCACTCCGTTTATACAGGGTGGCCGTAAAGTTTGTGTGCAATTAAAATTCAACTTAAGGTAGCACCCATAGCTCAGTGGGTAGGGCATTGGCCACATACACCCAGGCTGACAGGTTTGAACCCGGCCCAGGTCAGCTAAACAGCAATAACAACTGCAACAAAAAAAAATGGCCGGGCGTTGTGGCCGGTGCCTGTAGTCCCAGCTACTTGGGAGGCTGAGGCAAGAGAATCGCTTAAGCCCAAGAGTTTGAGGTTGCTGTGAACTGTGATGCCACAATCCTCTACCAAAGGTGACATAGTGAGACTGTCTCAAAAAAGAAAAAAAATTCAATTCAATTCATTTAATCTTCATAACAACCCATGAGGAAGGGACTACATGTTACCCTCTTCATTTTGTAATTGAAAAAACTGAAGTACAGGCTGGTCTGATTGCAGTGTTGTTTACAACTACTTGATAATAGTCAGTTACAGATTCCTTTGTTCCTACTTCACTCCCACTATTTCACTTGATTAGCCTTAAAAAAAACAAAACAAAAATAACTGAAGTATAGAGTGAAGAAATACGAGCAAGGAAGTGGCAGGAGTAGGATTCAAGCTCGGGCCATCCAATTGCAGGGGCTCCTGGTCCTGTGTACAGTAGTTGAAATAGTACCATATAATGGTTAAACATGTTGTAGGAGCCCTGGATTAGCATCATTTAATTCTAATTTGTTTTTCCTAAAAGTAGGCCTTTAAGACTATCAAAATGTAGTATTGAGAAAGGGACATGATTGGTACAAACTTGGGCTTACAGTAAAGATGTATGCCAAATACTAAAACATAAGTTTAATTTTATCATCAGTATTTTATTGTAACCTGTGAAATCATTCTTTATGTTCCTTATATTGTTAAAACAGGATACTTTCCTGGAAATACTTGACTCTTTTTGAAGTACCTCTGCTTTTGTGTCATGTTTCAGGTAATTTGGTGAGTGGTGGAGTGGATAAAAGACAGATGGCCAGCTTCCAGGAGTCAGTTGGTGAGACCAGCTCACAAAGTGTGGTTGTGGCTGTGGACAGGTAATGCTTTTATTCTCCAGCGAGCTTAGATTACCCAGTGGTTTGGCATCTTATCGGTAGTAACTGGGTATATCAATGATTCCTAATTTGTTTGGTTGTTAAGTATTGTCAGCTGCAGATTTCTTGAGCTTTACATTGATTTAATTGAATTGCATTATGACTTTTAAAAATATTTAACATAAACATTATGACAAATTATGTCAAAAATAAGAGGTTTTGCTTGTGCTAACACTTTAAATTTTATTTCTGGCCAGCCAGGATTGTCCATGCTTGTAATCCTAGCACTTTGGGAGACTGAGGCAGGAGGATCACTTGAAGCTAGGACTTCAAGACCATCCTAGGCAACATAGCGAGACCCTGTCTCTCCAAAAAAATTAAAAATTAGCCTGATATGGTGGTATACACCTATAATCTCAGCTTCCTGGGAGACTGAAGCCAGAGGATTGCTTGAGCCCAGGAGTTAAAGGCTACAGTCAGCTGTGATGTCAGCCTAAGTGACAAAGTTAGGCTCTGTCTCTAAAAACAAAATAAATTACCTTGATTTCTTAGTGGAAATATTTTTTTTAAATCTCAAAAAGAGCTTAGATTTTAAAGCCTACATGAGTGCTAGCCACGTTGAAAGTTTCCGGGTTTTTTTCCCCTCACAATCTTTCTGTTATTTCTGTTTACTTGAAACTTGACCTAAACATCCAGGGGAGTCATAGATATTATTATTTAAATTATTCAGAACATTTTATCACCCCACGGACAAGCTTTGTACTTATTAGCAACCCCTCTCCATTTCCTTTCTTTCCTTTACTAACAGATTGGCCTTTTCTGGACATTTTTGAATTATCTGTTTTTCCCTCTTTAGGTCTGTCCTTTCTTTGCCTCACATATTTTGTTAGATCTTAGATCCATAGATATTTATAATTCTTATTTTTCTTGATTTTTTTCACTATAAAATGTCATTTGTCTCTAGTAAGGATTTATTTTAGCCTTTTATAGCTGATAACTAGTATAGCCAGTCTAACTCTTACTTGGTTATTGTTTTCATGGCATATCTTTTTCTCATCCTTTCATTTTCAGTCTGTTTGTGTCTTTGAATCTAAAGTAAGTCTCTGTAGACAGCAGCTAGACTATGTTTATTTTCTTCCATTCCAGCAATATCTTCCTTTGATTGGCATGTTTAATTCATTTATGTTTAATGTAATTGCTGATAAGGCGGGATTTGCTAATTTTGTATGCCTTTTTTTAATGTCCTATATCTCTTTTGTTCCCCTCTCTTCTTTATTACTGCCTTCTTTGTGTTAAACAGATGTTTTCATTTTACATCTTGTTTTCCTTTATACATATTTTTAAAATTACAGTCATACTCCATGTAATGACATGCATGTAATGACCTTTATAAAGGTACACTCATCAACATGGATTTATAATGTTACATTTTGCAGTTGTCCTTGTAATCAGGTTAAAAATAGAGTTTCAAACAAAAAAAAAATTATCTTTCATATTTCCCTATGTAGTAACCTTTATCAGTGCTCTTTATTTGCTCCTGTAGTTTTGAGTTATTGTCTAATCTCATTTTAACCTGAAGAACTTGGCAGGTGTGGTGGCTCCTGCCTATAATCCCAGCACTGGGAGGCAGAGGCAGGTGGATTGCCCTGAGCTCAGGAATTCGAAATCAACCTGAGCCAGAGTGAAACCTCATCTCTTTTAAAAAAAAAAAAAAAAAAAAAAAAAAAGCCCAGCGTTGTGGGTGCCTAAAGTCCCAGCTACTTGGGAGACTAAAGCAAGAGAATCACTTGAGCTGGAGTTGGAGGTTGTTGTGAGCTATGATACCACCGCACTCTACTGAGGGCCACATAGTAAGACTCTGTCTAGATGGATGGATGAATAAATAGATAACCTGAAGGACTTTCTTAAGTATTTCTTATTAGATAGACAGATCTGCTGATAAGAAATCAACATCATCAGATCTCAGTTTTTATTTCCCTCAGAATGTTTGGATTTATTCTTTATTCTTCAGTTTTGATGGATTTAGAATTCTTAGTTGACAGTCTTTTTCTTTCAGCACCTTTAACTTCTCCCAGTTCCTTTGACCTCTGTGGTTTCAAATGCAAAATCATCTGTTCATCTTACTGAGAATCTCCGTGTATGTGATGAGTTTCTGCTGTCTTACCACTTTTAAGATTTTCTCATTGGCTTTTAGCAGTTTGATTATGATATGTCTGGGTATGGCAGTCTTTGAGTTTATTTTACTTGGAGTTTGTTAAGTTTCTTTGATGTGTAGATTGTTGTTTTTCATCCAATTTAGGAAATTTTCAGACATAATTTCTTCAAATGTTCCTTTAGCCCAGGCGTCCTCAAACTATAGCCTGCGGGCCACATGCGGCCTACCTAGGACATTTATCCAGCCCACAGGTGTTTTTGCCACCACTGCCTGTCCTGCTTAGCAGCTAACCTGTCCTGGGGCCTGCAGTCTGGCCCTCCAACGGTCTGAGGGACAGTGAACTGGCCCCCTGTTTAAAAAGTTTGAGGACCCCTGCTTTAGCCCCTTTCTTTTCCTCTCCTCTAGGGACTTCCATTATATATATGTTGGTGTGTTTGGTGTCCCACAAGTCTCTAAAACTAATTTTTTTAAATTCTTTTTTATTTCTGTTCATCATATATATTAGACAGTTTCATCCAATTTACATTCGAATTCACTTAGTTTTTTTTTTCTGTGAGTGCAGAACTGCTGTTGAGTACTTCTAGTGAATTTTTCATATCAACTATATAAGTTTCAACTCCAAAATTTCTAAAGGAGTCTCTTTTATTATTTCTCTTAATACTCTATTTTGTAAGACTTTTTTGGTTTTGGGGGATGTTTTTTGAGACAAAGTCTCACTTTTTTGCCCTCAGTAGGGTGCCGTGGTGTTGTAGCTCACAGCAACCTCAAACTCCTGGGCTCAAGTGATCTTCTTGCCTCACTTTTTTTTGTTTTGTTTTTTGAGAGAGTCTTACTATATCACCCTCAGTAGAGTGCTTGTGGCATCACAGCTTATAGCAACCTCAAACTCTTGGGCTTAAGAGATTCTCTTGCCTTAGCCTCCCAAGTATCTGGGATTACAGGCGCCTACCACAATGCCTGGCTATTTTCTTGTTATAGTTATTATTCTTTAGTAGGTCTGAGCTACAGGCACCAAGCCAATTATTTCCATTTTTAGTAGAGATGGAGTCTCACTCTTGATTAGGCTGGTCTCAAGCTCCTGAGGTCAAGTGATCCGCCTGCCTCAACCTCCCAGAGTACTAGGATTATAGGCATGAGCCACCATGCTGGGCCAAGACATTGTTCTCATATTTTTTCTTTAGTTGTTTAGACACGATTTCCTTTAGTTATTCAACAACATAACTTTAAATCTTTGTCTAGTAAATTCAACATCTGGGCTTCCTTGGGGGTGATGTCTTTTTGACTTGTTCTTTTCCTATAAATAAGCCATTGTTTCTCATTTTTTGGTATGTCTCATAATTTTTTGGTTGAAAACTGAATATTTAAAATAATGTGGCAACTTTAAATATTAGATTCCCCATCCCCACCCAGGGCTTGTTATTGTTGTCATCATTGTTATCTGATTCTTTAGTGACTTTACTGAACTAATTGTATAAAGTTTATATTCTTTTGTTGTATGTGGCTACCGAAGTCTCTGCTCAGTTAGCTTCAGTGTCAGAGATTTCCTGCAATTCTTTAGGTCTTCATTAGGTCTTTCCTTTCTTGTTCAGGCAGATGCAGTGCCTCATACCTATAATCCAACACTCTAGGAGGCCGAGGCTGAGTGGATTGCTTAACCTCAAGAGTTCAAGACCAACTTAAGCAAAAGCAAGACCTAGTCTCTACTAAAAATAGAAAAAATTAGCCAGACATGGAGGTGGGCATCTGTGGTCTTAGCTTCTTGGGAGGCTGAGACAGGAGGATCACTCCAGCCCAGGAGTTTGAGGTGGCTGTGACTAGGCTGACACCATGGCACATTAGCCTGGTACGACAGAGTGAAATTCTGTCTCAAAAATTTTTTAAAGGTCTTCCTGCGTTTGCTTGCAGTGAGGTTCTGTGTACATTTGAGGGGTGCTTGTTCAATACTCGGGTAAGCAGTGTGCAACTCTGCTTTTGCTTTCAGCTCTTGTTCACGTATAGCCTGAAGGTCAGCCACAGATAGGAGCTTTCCCTTCTTGTATCTTTCTCCGATCTGCTCAAAGCCTTGCACATCTGATTGCTGTCTAAATCCCGGGAGTATTTTGCAGCTGCTCAAAGCTGCCTGTGGATGCTTCATTCCCAACTTTTCCTTGAGGTTTTTGACCACATACTTGTTTGCCTCAGTTGGTTATTTCTGTCTTTTGTAGCTGCAGTGTTAAATTGCTAATTGTTCTTAATAAAAGCTTGGTGGCAAAAGGGTGTTTGGACTGAATGAGGTCTGAGTTAGGTCATTTCTTTGAGAACGATGTTTTGGGAAACTTCAAGGCTGTTCTTCAAGCCCTTTCAGTGGCTCCTATGCTGCTGGTTTCACAGTTACATTATTCTGCAGCTGTTGGTGTTTACGGCTTCCTATGGAGCTGGGCAGAGGATAATGAAAATAGGCCATGTTATCAAAATCAATTATGGATTTTTTTGTTCCTTCTTTACTCCCACTGCTTCACTTGACTAATCTTAAAAAGAAAGAAAGAAAATAGGCCAAGTTAAAATGCCACAACACTTACTGTTTAGACCAGGCATCTTCAAACTACGGCTTGCGGGCCACATGCAGCCCGCCGAGGACATTTATCCGGCCTGCTGAGTGTTTTTGCCACCACTACCTGTCTTGCTTAGCAGCCACCTGTCCCAGGGCCCGCAGTCCTACCCTCCCACGGTCTGAGGGACAGTGAACTGGCCCCCTGTGTAAAAAGTTTGAGGACCCCTGATTTAGACCATCAATCAGCTGTTTATCTTGAAAAACACTTTTCAGAATTTTTTAAGCCTTTTGTTAAGGTCAAGAGTTCAGTACTGGAAAAGTTGATTTTAATAATTTTTTTATCAGCATTCCTGTTCTTATGGAGAAGCAGCGTTTTGGAGGTTCTTACTCTGCAGCTCTCACTGACACCACACGTCACAGGCTGTTTACACTTGACTCTTCCCGTCTTCCATTCTCTCTCAGTGCGGACTTTTCTGCTGTCAGCTCAAGTCACTGAACGGTTCTGTACTTGTGTTTCCTCATCATTTATGTTGGTGGAGCTGCCAGATGTGAAATAATATCTCTTTGCCTTTTCTGAGTGTTTGAGAAACTTTAGCATCCAAATATTATTTTATTACTATAAGTATTTTGGGCCAGGCATGGTGGCTCATGCCTATAATCTCAGCACTTTGGGAGGCGCAGGCCAGAGGATCCACTTGAAGCCAGGAGCCCAAGACCAGCCTGGGCAACAGAGTGAGACCCTGTCTCTACAAAATATTTGAAAATTAGCTGGGCATGGTGGCACGCACCTGTAATTGTTTGTACTTGGGAGGATGAGGCAGGAAGATCACTTTAGTCCAGGAGTTTGAGGTTACAGTGAGCTATGATAGGACTACTGCACTTTAGCCTAGGTGACAGAGTAAGACTCTGTCTTTAAACATATATATACAGGCTCGGCGCCCATAGCACAGTGGTAATGGTGCCAGCCACATACACTGAGGGTGGCGGGTTCGAACCCAGCCCGGGCCAGCTAAACAACTACAATAAAAAAATAGCTGGGCATTGTGGCAGGCGCCTGTAGTCTAGCTACTTGGGAGGCTGAGGCAAGAGAATTGCTTAAGCCCAAGAGTTGGAGGTTGCTGTGAGCTATGACACGATGGCACTCTACTGAGGGTGACATGGTGAGACTCTGTCTCAAATATATATATATATATATATATATATAAGTATATATACACACAGTATATATATTTTTGATTTTTAGTGTTATATTATTTTAATTTACACTTTATTATGTAATTATCTTCCTAGAATTTTTACTGGTTCTACCAGATTGGATGGAAATGCAATAGGTAAGTATTTGACACACATGTGGCAACTGCAGAAGCCTCGTGCTGTGGCTGCCTGACCCTTACGAGGCTTCACATGTGTTGTTGGGTCTGGCCCCTAGTTGACTTTGTCCGCTGGCTATGTGCTGTTTCCATGGATGAGCTGGCATCCCCCCACCATCCTCGCATGTTCAGCTTGCAGAAGATTGTGGAGATATCGTATTACAACATGAATCGGATCCGACTGCAGTGGTCCCGAATATGGCATGTGATTGGAGATCATTTTAATAAGGTAACTCTCTTCAAATTTAAAAACCATTTCACTCATGTAAAAAAACGGTGTTAGGCAACTACATTTTTTAAATAAGTGATCAAGTGTTGGTCCTAGACCAGGGACTGTGACTCATACCTATAACCTCAGCACTTTGAGAGGCTATAGAGGGAGAACCTCTTGAGACCAGGAGTTTGAGACTAGCCTGGTCAACTTTAGTGAGACCCTGTTTCTACAAAAATATTTAAAAACTAGCCAAATATGGTGGCACATGCCTGTAGTTCCAGCTTTTTGGGAGGCTGAGGCAAGAGGATCATTTGAGCCCAGGAACTTGAAGCTGCAGTGAGCTGGGCATATGCCATTGCACTCCAACCTGAGCAACAGAGCAAGATCTTATCTTAAAAAAAAGAAAACGAGTTAGCCCTGTGTCTATAATTAATTTTCCCTGTGAGGGCAAGATCAGCTTGATAGGAGTAATATCATACTTAAGTAGAACTTATGTAGAATGAATTCAAAATCCAGTGATATTGAAAATACTCTAATACTCCATGTTCAGTAGTAGTCTAGCACCACTAACATCATTACAGTCACGGGACTATTGATTTTGGAAGCATTATGAAATCCTGAAATGCCTTTTTAGGTTATGTTCCATATAGTTTCGATATTCAGTGTCATTCCTTCTTCCATCCTGGTACCTGCTGCCACCAATCTTCTGAAACTTTATTGAAAAAATTTAACATTTGTTTTTAAATCAGAAACAAGCCAAAGACACTTCCATGTCCTAAAACCAGTGAGTGGGCCAGGCAGGCACAGTGGCTCATTCCTGTAATCCCAGCACTTTGGGAGGCCCAGGTGGGCAGATCACCTGAGCTCACGAGTTTAAGACCAGCCTGAGCTAGAGCAAGACCCCGTCTCTTAAAAATAGCAGGGCGTTGTGGTGGGTGCCTGTAATCTCAGCTATTTAGGAGGCTGAGGCAAGAGTATCGCTTGAGCAGAAGAGTAAGGGAATGCTGTGAGCTGTGATGCCAGGGCATTCTACCAGGGGTGACAAAGTGTGAGATTCTGTCTCTAAAATAAAGAAATAAATAAAACCAGTGAGTGCTGCAAATAAGCCAGACTGAACTTCTTTTCCCCTACTAGAAGTTTTATAATGTACATACTGATAAATGCACACATATATTGATTAAATAAAACACCAGATATATATTTTACCATAATAAAAAAATTGCAAAGAAAAGCAACCAAAATAAATGTATGTATATATCAGTCATTTGTTTCTTCAGGAAAATGTGATAACTTAATAGCTCTTGTTTCTTTTTTTTTTTTTTTTTTTGAGACGAAGCCTCAAGCTATCCCCCTGGGTAGAGTGCCGTGGCATCACACTCACAGCAACCTCCAACTCCTAGGCTCAAGCGAGTCTCCAGCCTCAGCCTCCCAAGTAGCTGGGACTACAGGCGCCTGCCACAGCACCTGGCCATTTTTTGGTTGCAGCCATCATTGTTGTTTGGCGGGCCAGGCTGGGGATTCGAACCCGCCACCTTAGGTGTATGTGGCTGGCGCCTTAGCTGCTTGAGCCACAGGCGCCGAGCCAATAGCTCTTGTTTCTTACCGAACACATTTTGAGATCTCAGGAAAAATTTCTCAGACCCAGAGATGTAAAGTGGTAGAAATAGTAATACTTAGTAGAAAACAGTTAATCCAACAGAGAATGGCTTTCTCTCCATTGAATAGAAGAAAATCATGAAAAGAAGTCTTTGGAATATAGAATAATCACTGGAGTTCTGGTAAATGATTTGTGGCATCTGCCAATTTCTGTGTTGTGAATACCTGAGCCACAACCAATTTAAAACGAGTAATATGATGCCACTACACCTTAGTCTTGCACTCAGTACTTTTTTTTTTTTTTTTTTTTTTTTTTGGCCAGGGCTGGGTTTAAACTCACCACCTGGCATATGGAGTTGGTGCCCAACTCCTTTGAGCCACAGGAGCCATCCTAGTCTTGTGCTCAGATGTGCAGAAAAAAAGAATAGTCGCTAAAGATGGAGCAAGGAAGAGCTGCCTGCCATCAGCTCTTGTGAACAGGGGCTGGCCGGCAGCACTCCACTGAAGTGAAGTGTTGTCAAGTGACTGCTCCTAAGTTGGTGCATCAGCTAATGAAAGTTGTTTCCTTATCAGCTCAAATTAAGGGACCTCTGTTTAACAACGTATCTGGGTGCCTTGTGTCAGGTAGAGGACAGATGAGGCCCTGCCCACATGGAACTCACCCCTGTTTTATGATAAAGTAACTGATGGGAAGCAGTGCTGGGTGTCAGGGTTCTTGAGCTGGGGTGACCAAGGAAGGCCTCTCTACAGGTGTCCTGAACACCTGAGCACTCAGGGAGGAGAGGAGAGAGGCATAGGAGCCGAGGATTATTTGTTGAGTGGATGGTAACATGGCAACTGACTGGCTCTGCACCATCTTTCCCACTATTTTCTTTAGTGGACCAGTTCACATACTCAGATGAACTTGCTTGAGAAAGGAAGTGTGAGTCATTACCATTATTGTACCTGGTATTCTGATCCAAGCCTGTGACAGCTAAGCTAGAACAAACGTGCTCATTTATTCCACATGGTCTTTGGTTAACAGCTGTGGAGTCCTTTGTTCTCTCAGAAATAATTTAACAATTACTAATTTAATAATAATTATAATAACAATTATAATGTTTAATAAATAACACAAAATGTGTTAGTAAGCATTGTCTCAACTCTTTGAAGTCTAGATTTTGTGGTCAGGGGGACTTTTTTATTGGGAGAAAACATCAGTTCAAGTTACTTTTCCCGGGGAGGCGCCTGTGGCTCAGTGAGTAAGGCGCCGGCCCCATATACCGAAGGTGGCGGGTTCAAACCCAGCCCCGGCCAAACTGCAACAAAAAATAGCCAGGCGTTGTGGCGGGCGCCTGTAGTCCCAGCTACTTGGGAGGCCGAGGCAGAAGAATCGCCTAAGCCCAGGAGTTGGAGGTTGCTGGAGCGACTCCACTGCACTCTACTGAGGGCGAAAAAGTGAGATGTTTCGTGCTTGTCAACTTTGTTATAAATGTCAACTTTGTTACAATCAAATCACTGCTGCCATGCACCAAGTTGTGGAAAACTCAGATGTTCACTCTGGGACTCTTAATTTTTTCCACCACCTTGGAATGATGTTTTGCCTCCCTTTAGAAACTAGGACACATGAGAATGTCACAATTTTGAAGAAATGTGGATGGGTGAGTCCAGTTGTAACTCAGACTGCTAACAGGGCTGTGTGAACAGTCACATATGATGCTTTTCTTTTACACTAGGGCACAGATAACCATGTCCTGGGGTGAGCAGTCATTTGTTTTACATGAGTATTGAGGAGAGGAATATTCTTTCTAGTGGTTTCTTACACGAGCGTTACATGAACATACTCCCCTTTAAACAAAAATTACAGCTAAAAACACCTTTACCCACCATCCCATATACTTCTCTCCCTCCTAAAAGTTAATTACTTTCATCAGTTTGGTGTATGTCTTTCCATACATTTTTCTATGCACATAGATATCTAAGAACTCATAGAAATACAGATAATATTGTCTAGATTTGTTTTGCTTTTTCAAAAAACAAAAACAGTACAGGGTGGGCATAGAGTTGATGTATAATTAGTTTAACATAGTAAATTGCACATGAACTTTATGTGGACCCTGTATTACACATAGCATTTCGTAACTAACTTCTACTTAGCAAGGAATCTTAAAGATATAGCCATGTTAACATATGTAGATTTCACCATTTTTAAATTGTGATAAAATAATCGTAACAGACTTTTCCATGCCTACCATTTGTAAGCATCCAGTTCAGCAGTGTTGACTATGTTCACATTGCTATGTGGAAGATCTTCACTGTGCAGAACCAAACAGTGACTCTCAGGTTCTGCCTCCCTCCAGCCACTGAAAACCACCATTCCGCTGTCTATCACTGTGAACTGCACCACTACACAGGATGTCCTAAGGTTTTGCCATACATACATAGGGAAAATGGGAAATTGTAGCTAAATACACCTTTTTTTTTTTTTTACAAAATATTCTTTACAAAATTTGAAATATGTCTGTGTTGATATAGAAATACGAAAAATATATTTTAAATTGCACATGAACTTTATGTTCCACCCTGTATAATACAGTAAATCCCCTGATATCCAGAACACAAGCAACTGGCACTCTCAAAAAAACAAAAATCAGAGTTTAAACTTGGTGTGCAATGCTGTCAGTAAGCCACCACTTTATGCCTTGCTCCCATATAATAGTTTTAAGCGTTAATGTGTGTCACTTGAAGTTAAAAAAATATGGTAGTGAAGTTAAAAAGTGTATTGACTGCCATTAAACTAAAGTTGTACACTGCATTTACAAAGCTGCATTTATAATACAGTAAAACTATGACAATAAGTGAAGTTTGTCTTACTATGCTTTTAATTCATGTATTTCAATATTGATACCAAGTCAATTCAGAGTTTATGTTATGGTATAGTATGGGATATAGAATTAGTTACACCAGTTTGTAATGGCAACTCAAACATCCAGAAACTGCATTAAATGTACCAATCCCCATGGTTGCCACGTAACAGGGAGACTCCTGTATAACACAAAATGTAACATGAGTTAGTTCATTTTTCCTACTAATGGTAGGAAAAACATGAGTTTGTTCATTTGTCCTACTTTGGAGCATACTGTAGGTACCTCATCTATGTGGAATCAGGCAGCGTTTGTCATTTCATGCCTGTGTTATTTCACTTAGCATAATAATATTGTCAAGATTCATTCACATTGTAGCGTGGATCAGAATTTCCTGCCTTTTAATTTTTTTAATTTAATTTATTTTTTTTTGAGACAGAGTCTCACTGTGTTGCCCTTGGTAGAGTGCTGCTACGTCACAGCTCACAGCAACTTCACACTCTTGGGCTTAAGCGATTCTCTTGCCTCAGCCTCCCAAGCAACTGGGACTTTTTTTTTAAGACAGACTCTCACTCTGTGCCCTTGGTAGAGTGCAATGGCATGATAGTTCTCAGCAACCTCAAACTCTTAGGCTGAAGTGATCCTCTTGCCTCAGCCTCCTCAGCAGCTAGCAGCTGGGACTACAGGAGGCCCCCACCACCCCCAGCTAGTTTTTTTGTTTGTTTGTTTTTGAGACAGAGTCTCAAGCTGTCGCCCTGGGTAGAGTACCGTGGCGTCACAGCTCACAGCAATGTCAAACTCTTGAGCTTAAGAGATTTTCTTGGCTTGGCGCCTGTGGCTCAAGCGGCTAAGGCGCCAGCCACATACACCTAAGGTGGCGGGTTCAAATCCCCAGCCCGGGCCCCCCAAACAACAATG